TCGACAATCAATTGGTGTCGACCTCCCTCAGGAGGGCCGTGCCCGGCCTGCCATGGGTTCAGAAACTCCGAAGTGGAAAACCACGGCCGAAAGTATCGCTGGACCGCGTCTTGGACGCGTCAGCGTCGTAACGAGGGGTAACTGCGGGACCGCCAGCATTGCTGCTGGGCTGTGTCCTGGAGGGCAGAACCTCCGACGTGAAGATAGCTCCGCCAGCATTGGCAGTGGGCCATGTCCTGTAGGCACATGCCTCGCGCGTTGAGATGCAATAAATGTGCAGGGCCGCCGGCATTGCCTCCGGGCTGTGTCCGAGAGGGCAGAACCTCCGACGTGTCGATTGCCAAAACCAAAAAAAACAGCGCCGGCATTGTCGCCGGGCCGTGTCTTGGGGACGCGTGCCTCGTGATGAAGTATTGTAGGACTACCGGCGTTTCCGCCGGGCTGTGTTCTGGAGGTCAGAACCTCCGACGTGCCAGATTGAAGCAAAGGCGGGCAATATCGCTGGTCTGTGACCTGTGAGCACGCGCCTCGGAAGGGTAAGTGCAGGACTGTCGGCATTCCGCCGGGCTGTGTCCTGGAGGGCGGAACCTCCGACGTGAAGATAGCTCCGCCAGCATTATCACTGGGCCATGTGCCCGAGGCACATGCCTCGCGCAAGGAAGTGAACATGCACAGGACCGCGGGCACTAAGGCTGTGTCCGAGAGAGCGAAGCTACCGACGTGTCGATTGACAAGACCGCGCCGTGTCCTGGAGGCGCGTGCTTCATAAGGAACGCGTGTGGGACCGCCGGCATTGCCGCCGGGCTGTGTCCTGGAGGTCAGAACCTCCGGCGTTTTCTTTGGGTCCAGAATGGCAGCGCCGACAGTCGGCTGGTGTTGACCTCCATCAGGAGGGCCTTGCCGAGCCTGTCAAAATGGCGAAATCCGACCATGTCGAGGGCTGCCGTGCTCGCAACGGCACTGGGGCGGTCAAGCGGCCGCCGAAACGGGCCCCCCAAAGAAAAACAAGTGGGGTGCCAGCTGGAGCTAGCTGGATGTGGCCACCTGCGTGCCCGAGCATTACCGCTCTGGCAATGGCCATCAGTCGTAACACGACCTCCCTGGGGAGGGCCGTGCTTGGCCAGCAGGTGGGGCCAATAGATCCCACGCCACTGTCGCCCAGGCACGCGGGGAGGGCCTTCGATGCCTTAGGGGAGAAATGGGACCGCGTTTCACCAGATTGTCCCAATTGAAACGCAATTGCCACCAGGAAAGCATCTCGAGGTAGGTGAAGATCCCGAGGTGAGAGCCTCGAAGTGAAGACCTCGAGGTGAAGACCTCGACGGGAATGTAATGAGGTGAAGGTCTCGAGGTGAACGACTTCGAAGTGTAGCCCTCGAGGTAGTGACCCGGAGTGGAGCCACTGAGGCGGAGACCTCGATGTGCGCAGGACCTCCAGCCTTGCCGCCGGAGTCTGTCGTCATTGATGTACGGTAAGTTCCTCTTGTGCTGGTGTCGCCCCGGCTTCTTAACCACAGGGGGCATTGTGCAGGTGCTCGTCGGGCGTGCGCCTTGCGCACGCCCTTACTGGCGCCCCATGCGTCATGCACAACGACCGCCCCCCGGAGCCATCGGTATGGGGAGGAGGAGGAAGAGGAGGAGGAGGAGGAGGAGAAGGAGGAGGAGGAGGAGGAAGAGGAGGAGGAGAAGGCAGGATGACGTAGGAGGAGGAGGAGGAGAAGGCAGGATGACGTAGGAGGAGGAGGAGGAGGAGGAGGAGGAGGAGGAGGAGGAGGAGGAGGAGCTATGGAGCTATGGATATTGCGACCATGTCGGTTACAAGCATGAGACTCTTATACATCGAGGTGACTGACAGACACGCGCGTGCATGCACAAACGATGCGAGTCGAGCATACGAAAATGACCTTCAATTACTTGCTGCGGGACACCGTGCCACCTCACGAATCACATGTTCACCCTATTGCCATGCCCACCAACACACGAAGACATTGTGACCAAAAAGCCCATTGAATGGCCAGACAAAAGCAAACGAGAGACATTCCCCTTCATCGTGATGCTGAAGGGACTCAACATGGACTTGCACCTGCGCGCCACAAGCAGTACGCGACGATGGTTCCAGAACACCTGACCAGCCTGCCAGCACAACCTGAACAGTGCCAGGCCGTAAACTACCCTGCACATATCTCTCAAAATGCATGCGCCCATACCAAAGCACAAAGGCAAACTGAACACAAAGCTTCCCACATAGTCAGCGAACAAACTCATGTTCCTCCACTTGACTGTAAGGTGTGTTGTGCCGACAGCGATAAACAATAACATCCAACCAGGCTGCACAAAAAGATGACGGGATACGCCCAGCCGACAGGGGGACGATTTGAAGGGCACGAGGCCCGCGGCACGTCCTCTCGCCTGCCGACTGGGACGGACCGTGCTGAAGAACAGTAGGAAGGAATACAAAATGCCCAGCCTGCACCTTGTCAACACGAAAGCGACATGGGCG